ACTTTACTTTTAAAATTTAGACACTACGGTTTAATGATATTTTTCCTGATCTTCGATTGATTTATTTAATTCTGTACAATCGAAATTATTCTAATAGAGAGTTGGAATTCTTCATAATAGGTACTTAACTTTAGAGGTGGGTGTTGCAATAAATGTTGTATGATACACGAGCGTAAATCTGATTATACTTGTGTGATTTGCATCACTCATAATCACTCACTTTACGCACTTGTATCATAAATAACTATTATTAATAATTTTTAGTTAATAATTTGTTTTTTATCATCATCACCTAAAATATAATATAATAAAATATAATATATGATTTATTCTACGTCAAATTCAAAGTCCATCTGCAATTGCATCTCCGATTTTTTAAGATTTTTTTCTCTTTTAGTACTTATGGAGACTAGCTTTTATAAATTTTTTAAAAAATTTTGACCAAGGCATTTTAAAGTTATGAACAATTAATTAAATGAATAAAAATTTTATTTCTTCTAAAAATTCAATGTTTGTTTATTAAAATTATATTGGTCCACGTTTAAATAAATGAAGAATATACTGTATAGACACTTAATTTGCATCCGACTTATTTTTAACTTATTTTAATAGAATATAATTTTTGAAAAGTTGTAAAATATTTTAGCATTTAAAATGCACTTAAATTCATTTACTGTTATTCAAAATATATTAAAATTTAGTTATTTCTGAAAATATTAATTTTACTTTTTAACACTTCAATTACCTGTAAAATTTGTGTACAAAATTGAAATGATGAATTAATTTTTTAATAATTAATTGAATATAATACCTCAAGATATTGCGTAGATATTCTAGGGATATTAAATTAATTAACACAATTGCTGATAAAATCAATATTTATTATAATAAACTTATAACTAAGAATACTATGAAATTATAATAATAATAATAATAATAATAATAATAATAATAATAAATATTATTAATTTTACAATAAATGTAACTCTCACAATTAAAAAAACATTTATATTTTAAAAAAATTTTACAATAAAATAATTTATTATTCTTTGTAAAATAAAGTTTTCTCATAATACATTTTTAATAATTTTAAATTCTGTTTATTTAAATGGCCACCATTTATAAAACAGTTCATAATTTTTTCACCATCTTTTAAATTTTGGAAATTTAATACGAAAAATTTTATTGAATATTCAAATAAAGTTGAAATAGAAAAAAATTGTGAAAAATCAATGACATCAATGACATTGTCGCAATTTAAATTAAATTGTATATTTTGAATACATTGTTGTTTTAAATTTTTCAAATCATATTTTTCAGCAACGTAAAATAAATCCATTGCGGAATCATTAAAATTTACTATTTCTCTATTGTACATATAACAAAGCATTTTATCAAAAATTCTTGGTTGGATATCTGTAATTTCAACAATAGATGTTTTTTTTCAATCATATTGATTAAAAACATAGTTTTAAAAACACAACTATGTGAAGCCAATACAATCTTATGTGCTTTAAATGCAACACTGTTGACAATTAAGGGGGTCATCCCAACTGAACGCTGTTTTTTTTCACTTTTTTCGGGATTTCTTTCTGGGAAAGTGAATAAAACTACAACTGTGAACTTTTTCCTATATATTTATTAATATTTTGAGCCAACATTAAAATATTTTGAGACCAAAATAATGGCTCTATCCTTAGATTTTTCACTATGAACTTACTCATTAAAAAAAACTGCAAAAAGGCTGCCACGATAGCGGGACTTCTATTAATCTGAAACCAAAAAACCAAATGGCATTTTAATCTGTGAAGTAGCAGCTTTTATATGAACTAGGATAAATCAAAAATATTAAAAATTGAATATTTGGCAGGTTGTTAAACATTTTTTTATGAATTTTGGTGTTTTTTGCTACTTTTCAAGTGTGTAAAACAAAAACGGGTTGATGAATCAGAATTATCCTACTTCAGATAGGACAAATATTAGTACTGAGTAAGTCCTATAAATTTGGAGAAAATCCGTTGAATAGATTTTGAGTTATGGTGGCAGCCAATTTTTAAAATCCTGTTTCGAGAAAAACGCGTTTAAAGATTGATATACGAAAATCACTTATAAAATTTTGACTTACCCTTAATCTGCTATGCCTGGTCCGTAAAGTGCTCCTTCTTCTTCTTCGAAAAATGCTTGCAAAGCAGATTGTTCGTTTCTGGACTCTGTCCTCGCTTTTTTGGCGCTGTCGCTCAAGCGTAGTTCGGAACGGGAGATGCGTGCATTATTACGGCGATCCACATAAGCTTGCGTGATATGATTTATAGGGCAACCCATTGTTTCCATCACTTTTGCAATTCCATCAAAACCTTCATTAAAGATGATAACGACAAGAAAAGTGGCTATTTCCACTACCTTGGTGCCAGAATGAAGGTGTTTTGCAGCAAAAGTCCAGATCAGTGAATTTATGGATTCATTGTTATTTTGGGTTTCCGCGCCTAAACATCTAATCAACAGATCATCCTTTGTCAAATCTTTATAAATGGGTTTGATTACTGCTTGAACTTCTGCAGTTAGAGCTGGCTTAACATGGTGGAAATTACGGAGTTCCCCTGCAGCTTCTGCCTTGCGCCATTTACACCAGCTGTCTTCACCTACTGGACAATTTTGGTGCTGTGGCTTTTGATCTGTGGAACATTTGTGGAAGAATGTTGCCCAAATTTCATTCTTCATTTCAGCAATCGAGTCTGTGTGTCGTCGAATACCTAAGCCGTAAAATTTAGTTAATTCATTAATCAGCTTATCAGTCAATTTTCCAGCTCCTTTTCCTCCAATTCCTTTGTTGTTTTTCTTGGCGTTCCGGAGTCGCGTTCCCATTCTCTTCTCGACATGCCCCACACATTCCTTTTTTATGACTGACTGATCTTCTTCGTATGGCTCAGTTTTGAGAATCCCGTTAAACGTTTTGCTGTCACCATCTCAAACGTAAGTAAGATACTTTACGCCATGTTTTTCTTCAGATCGCAAAAACATTTGCACAATGGCATCGACTTCCATTTTTCCAGAGCTTCCTGTGTGATTTATACTGCATTCAGCTTCATGACTTTGAAGCCATACCTCGTAAGCAATCGAATCACTATCTTTTTTGCTTTTCCACAAGTTACATCCCCCACAGAAGCTACTCATAACAGATGTATCCACAACTTTACTGGAATATTTAGCAACTAATGTGGAAACACCAAACAAAGATGAAAATCCTCGCTTCTTCCAAGTACCGTCACCCGAAACTGTGAATTCGTCCTCAGGCTTTCCAGCTTCTTTATTCATTTGCTTCTCCTGAGTTACGGCAAATGATAGAACAGTTTCATAAACAGCAGATGCAGCTGTGCGAATATTTTGTAAGATTAGCGCATACGTAGAATTTCCGATGCCAGAACATATGCCCATTAAGCTGCAGGAAAGATTCAATCCTTCATGGCCGATTCCTAATAATCGCATTACAAAAACAACACGTCTATTCACTTCATACACATTTCCTATCAAAGGGCAAGAGTTGATCGTTTGAGTATTTTTACATTTACACGAAACACAGATTTTAAAACCCAAGCCTCGTAAATTGGATTGCGAAAAAGTCACATCACGTTCACACATTTTGCACTTTACATTTGCAGAAATAGCTGAAAATACACTAGTAAATTGTAAAATACAATACACAAAACTTGAATCAATTGGTACTTTTAAGTTCATGTTTCCTAAAAGTTTCTTCGCTGACGTTGAGGTAAATTCTGTTTCCTGTTCTTTTGAATGACGATTTCCATGAAATGACCGTTTTTTATTTCTAAAATGTCGAACAGGAGCAACTTTACTCCCTTTTGTAAAATTCATTTTAAAAACTATTCACTTCAAGTAAAAAACAAGTATCATTGCAAAGTACATTTCAGTTTGAAAGTTATGTGCTATGTACACTAAGTCAATAATAAACTAACCGTAAGATCGAAATACGTGACTGAATTTTTAAAATGCAACGTCTTCTGATAAACTATTTGCAATTAGAGCTCTTAGATATAAAACTTAAGAGTAAACGATGTTGTAAACCGCGCCTTTACCAGTGCTTGAACGCCCGATCAAAACACCTTGCCTAATTTGCTCTATAACTCCCCAACGACTTCGAATATTGAAAAATCCTTTTAGACGCATATTCTACTTAAGATTGTTACATCCCGATATAACATTTTTAAATTTTTCTTTATTTAAATTAAAGAATTTAAATATTATTTCTACACTTTATGTGTATTTTACAAGTTAAAGGCCCCTTAATGCAGATTAACCGTTATGCATATATGATTAACAGAGTGGTCAAGCACAAGTAATGACATAATATTAATAATGGTACAAAATAGGTTGAATAACATGATTATTATTCATGAAATATTATTATATTAACATTATTTGTGATTGAAAAACATTCTGGCAACAAGAAAATAACATCAATAATATTAATTAAAATAGCGTCAACTAATTATCATAAGGCATGATAATTAATCGACATAAGATTATAATTGAAATGTCGATATAGTAGAAAGCAATAAGATAAAGAATTCTTCCTTTTTGACATGAATAAAGAATGACTAATGTATAATAAAATACATATGTACGTATGTATATATATATATATATGTATATACATGCGTATGTAAAGAATTATAAAATCTACAAATATTATTAAACAAACAAATAGGTAATAATAAGAGAAATTATCAAAATTATAAATTATCAAAATTATCAATAGTTATCACTATTGATTCACTATTTTATATGTATAATGACACTATGCAATTCTTAGAAAAATTGTTAAGTGGCACGTTTTGCGCAAAAATGTTTAGTAGCACGTTTCGCGCAAAATTGTTAAGTGGCACGTACAGTTTTTCTAAGAATTGCATAGTGTCATTATACATATAAAATAGTGAATCAATAGTGATAACTATTGATAATTTTGATAATTTATAATTTTGATAATTTCTCTTATTATTACCTATTTGTTTGTTTAATAATATTTGTAGATTTTATAATTCTTTACATACGCATGTATATACATATATATATATATATATACATACGTACATATGTATTTTATTATACATTAGTCATTCTTTATTCATGTCAAAAAGGAAGAATTCTTTATCTTATTGCTTTCTACTATATCGACATTTCAATTATAATCTTATGTCGATTAATTATCATGCCTTATGATAATTAGTTGACGCTATTTTAATTAATATTATTGATGTTATTTTCTTGTTGCCAGAATGTTTTTCAATCACAAATAATGTTAATATAATAATATTTCATGAATAATAATCATGTTATTCAACCTATTTTGTACCATTATTAATATTATGTCATTACTTGTGCTTGACCACTCTGTTAATCATATATGCATAACGGTTAATCTGCATTAAGGGGCCTTTAACTTGTAAAATACACATAAAGTGTAGAAATAATATTTAAATTCTTTAATTTAAATAAAGAAAAATTTAAAAATGTTATATCGGGATGTAACAGTCCTCCCTCCTTAGATTGTGCATCGTCCTCGATGGACTAAAATTTAGATTTCATTATGTGAAATTTTACAAGTTTTACAATTTGGATGTGTAATACTTTTTGTTTATAGAATATGTTACAATTTTTGCTGAGTGTAATAAAGTGATTAATGTAGTGTTTAAAGGAAACTTTGCAGCTGCGAGGTAAGTTGAAGTTTAAACAATATAACAATGTAGCTGATGGTCCAGATGGCTCCTCGTGAGAAATTTAAAATGCTGTTATCATCAAATTGTTACATGATGATCTCAGTAGTCTTGTGATGATCCGTGTACATCCCTTTTGTAATTAGTCTCGCATTTACCATGAGTGCCAACAGTTCGTCCAGCAACGCGTCCACTGAAGATTTTGGAGATTTTTGCATCAACAACATGCTGCCCCTACCACTACTGATAGATCGCGAAATTCCTCATGGTGAGTTGAATCCTTTATCTTTTATTTAGTGTGTAATTAGTGTCTGCAGTGTGACGTCGCGTAAAACTATTAATTGCATTCTTGTTTATTCTTTTTCATACGTGTAATTTTCGTGAATATAAAGTTTATTTTTCATTATTATTTCTTTTCTTTTTGTGTTTTTATTTTATTTTTTATATATAATTTTTTTTTTTTTTTTTTTTTTTTTTTTTACTATGGAAGGTGATGATGTTGACATTAGTGATTCGGTAGAAAATAGTGATTTTGATTTTATTAATGACTTCGATCTCGAACTTTTAGGAAGTGATAATGTTGAAAATGACAGTTCGGTAGAAAATAGTGCTTTTGTCGAGAACAATAATTTGTATGATTGTGCACCAGGTCCGAGTGGAATAAATTCCTCTCCAAATGTACCATCAAATTCGTGGGCAGAAACTATGATAGTTTCGCATCAGCGCCTTCTCGGTTTGAGGATTAGTGATATTGAGGACAGTTTGGGCATATTTCAATTTGCCATTTGGAAAATGCCCTTCGAAAATGCTGCGAAATCTGTGCGTGATTTGTGCGAGTCGGTTTTTGAAACAAACTTTCAGGAAAAAGATTTTAAAATAGTGCGTAGGTTAGACATTCGGCGTGGAGGTGTCATGGTGCGCGTGTCATCCTTATCCTTAAAAACATTAATTTTGCACTATAAACGTCTATTTATGCTTCGTGGCTATCATGTTGATGCCTTGTAAATTTCTGTGAGAAAATTTTTGTTTGTTTGTTTATTTGTTGAAGTTTTATTGTATATTTTATTTATATACTTTGTGTTTTTGTTTTACAGATCGCGCACCTAGTGACAGGCCAAGGGTGTGGAGTCCGGGAAAAATCACTCAGTTGGTTTTTCTTGCCTTGAAGTTGGTCCAGCTTTCCCGGGAAGAACGGGAAACCACAGGGCTTCTTGGTTTTTCCCCCAACTTTGAGGTAAGGAATGCCGGGTCCAAATCATCTGGAAAAATGCGTATCCGGCGAGTGAGGAATTCCTGGAGTCCACATTTTTCTCCTGAGGGCAGGAGATCTTCTTTGTTCCTGGAACGAGTTCGCGTGGAACAGCAGTTACAGTGTTTACTGGCAGGGGTGAATCAAATTCCTGCCGGTAGACCTGACTGTTTGCACATGTCAAGAGCTGACACGTGTACTAGGTATTGTATTTCTATGATTCATATACGTATATATATTTATATATATATATATATTTTTTTTTTGAAATATGTAATCTATAATTCTTTTTCATAATTTTCTTGTTTCTATTTGTTTGTTACAGCTTCCAGGGACAACATCGGCGTTTTTGTCTATGTGGACGGTTGCTGAGCATTACACAGCGGGCAACCATGTGTAAATGCGGAACTAAATTTGAGGATCCAAGGATGCCTGGTCCTTCAGATTCTTCTGTTAAAGAATATATCCCTCCTTATAAGGTTATGTGTGGTCGTCAGTGTGAGTGTGGAAAATATGTTGTGAATGAATTTAGAGTAGATAAATGTAGTTGCGGGGCGAAGTTGCCTTATGCAGCGGATGCCACCGAGTATTTTAACCCTAGGCCTATAGATCTTAGTTTTAATAATACAGATATAGACGTAGAAAATTAAGATTATTTTTAACCTTTTAATATTTGTATATTTTTATTCTGTTTAATATAATAACAATAATAATAAAATTTTTACCTTGATTTTCCTTGATTTTATTTTCAGGTGTTTATTAAATTTTTAAAATATTAAATTTTTAATTTAAATTTCATTAAATTTTTAAAATATTAAATTTTTAATTTAAATTTCATTAAATTTTTAAAATATTAAATTTTTAATTTAAATATTAAATTTAATTAAATTTTTAAAATATTAAATTTTATTTTTTAAGTATTTTTATTAAATTTTTAAAATATTTGTTGTACTGGCTGAACTAGTAAGTATCATTATTATTATTATTATTATTATGCATTATTTAATAATACTAATGTGAAATATAAACATTTTTTTTTTTTTTTTAGTTTTTTTTTTTTTTTTTAATTACGTCATATATAAATGTAGCCCTTTTTTATCAATTATATAAACTATTATTATTTAGAATTAACAAATAATATCCCTTAAATATAATTGATACATTTTTTTCACAATAGATTGATCAATTTATTGATTTAATTGATCAATCTAGCGTTCTTAATGGAATAATTGTATTAGTATAATATACGCGCAGAGAAGCACTGCATATATATGATGCGTCAACATGGCTATTGCTCAGCGCACTCATATATATATGTCATGCAGGCTAGTCGCGACAGCGAGTATGACGGCCATGGGAGAGTAGGCGGTAGCCCAGGCGCGTGGCTGTTGGAGAGGAGGCGTGGGCCTGACCACGCCTCGCAGATCACCTCCGTTCTCCCATGCTCGCCTAATACCCAGAGCTCGCTACGAGGTCTTTTGCGCTCAATTATTATTAACAATAATAATAATATTGAAGTCAAAACACATTGTATATTGTTAGTTAGGTTTGTTTGTTTGAAATTATAATTATTAATGATTATTATTTAGGTATTGTTGATTTAGTTGTAAGGTATTGTTAGTTAACATTAATTATGAGGTTATTATTATTATTATTATGATTATATAATTATGAATAGAAGATTAATTAATTTATTTGATGTGTAAGTATAGAATAAAATGCATATGTGTGCGTATAGACACGTATTTTTGTTTTATTTTATTATTATTCCTTTAATTGTTAATTAAAATTAATATTAATGAATCAATGGACTGGTATTTAATTAGTAAAATTATTAGTTATTGATATTTTTATTAATATTTTTATATTTAATATTAATTAGTAATGGTGTTAGTTATGTTTAATATGTAATGTTATATTTAATTATTATATAATATTATTAGTGATGGTAATGGTTATTATTTTGTTATTTTAACTGATATACTTATTCATGTGTATTGGACAAGCGCCTTTTGTTGTATTGATGTCCTTCGCTTGGCGGCCATTGTTGTATTGGTCTTGATTTTCTTAGGGTCGATATACATGGTCGATATACAAGTTTTAAGTTGGCGCGTAGGTTTGAAAACTGTTGCCTCTTCTTTTTCATATTTTCTTGATAGTTTAGCTTGGAAATATACTTTATTTAATGAAAGTTTTTGGGGATTTTTTGGGGTCGGTCCTCCCTCCTTGGAATAATCATTGTCCTCAATGATCATTTTATGGATTGTTTAAATTTGGTTGATTTCTTGATCTTTTTCTTCGCATTGTTATCATCTTATAACATATAAAAATGTTTTTTAGGACTATTAATGATACTAATAATATTAATATCTTAATTGCCATAGATATGTAGTAAGTAGTATCGGTACGTGCCACTTAACAATTTTGCGCGAAACGTGCTACTAAACATTTTTGCGCAAAACGTGCCACTTAACAATTTTTCAAAATCCGTGCTCTTATTCTAAATCATCCCCAATAAAGCAATGGATTGAATGGTATATAAACCCCATCTCTGATCAGAGAAGATGTCAAAAGTTCCAGTGTATATCTCCGTGATTAATCTCATTGTAGAGCGACCCTTCAGTTAATTTCACGAAATTTATTGTAAACTTTTCATAAAAGTACAAGTTTTGTTAAAGTTTCAATTAGAACAAATTCTTTCCTGAAAAGGTGCAAGAGAAGCAAATTTAATACTTAGAACAAAGTTCTTTCCTAAAAAGGTGCAATTTAAATTTCTTTTCACTTAGAATAGATTCTTTCCTGAAAAGGTGCAAGAAATAAAAACTAAATAATTACATTAAATAATTTCATTGATTTTACTGTCGTATTTTGTGATATAAAATATTTAACAATTAAAAGTCTGTAAGTTGCTTCTCTTTCACATTTTAAAGGAATTCTTTCAATGTAGGTGTGAATAACGTGAGATAATAAATTTAAAGCCTGAAAGTTGAATATTATATCATCATAAAGAAACATTAAAGTTGTGTGTGTTACACAAGTGTGATTCCACAAACTGTATTTTCATTATTGAAACAGAACCAGAAATAAATCTTATACGACGACTCAGCACTTCCATTGAAATCCGAATATAAGCGTAGAAGTGAGTAACCTTTACACATGTATATTATCATATGTATAAATAATAAAACATTAAAAAGGGGAATGTCTATCTATTATTATTGTTTTTAACGCAAGACCCATAGTTTTTTTATAGTAACAACGATCCTACAAAATAAAAATATCAGATCTTACCAATCTGATTAATCAGCACAACCCTCCCAAGTAAATAAATAAATTATTTGTTTAAAAACCAAGCCTTAGCTCGGGATGTAACAAAGATATAGATCAAATTTATGCAAAAAAAAATCGATTTTTTGAAACGAACAGTTGGGATGACCCCCACGGTGGGTAGGAAGCGACGATAGGTTGAACAAAAGTGTCAAGAAAAACTGAAAGTGGGGTTGTATTTATGGATGATTGTAGGTGAAAAATCCGTTTAGAATGAAATCCTAGCTGCTCCTATTTCAAAGTTATCCACATTTTAATTTTTTTAATAGGATCAATTTTTGAAAAATAGAAAAGGCGCGAACATTTCTTTGTGTTTGTGTGTGTACGTGTAGACATATGTTCACATACGATTTCCACACTTGTAGCCAAATATAGCATCCTTTGTAATTTCCCAATTATAAAATAATAAATATTAAGTGTTGAAAGTCACTAGTAGACGTGGCAAATAACACAGCCCCACAAAAAAAGAGTGTCGTGCGCGGCAGACCAGACTAGTCATTTCACATGTATTTTGACGCGCTAAACACGAATCCGAAGTCCGTTTTGCTCCATCACGTCAGGATTTTTTTCTAACCTCCAAAAACCTGTCGGATTTTGAGAGGTAGGCTATTTTTTTAAAAAATTGATGGATTTACTTCAAAATTGGTATCTAGGGGTTTTTTGGGTCGCTGATGAAGAATTTGAAGTTAGATTTTCAAAATTCAAAATGGCGGCTCCAATATGGCGGACGAATTTTGTAAAAATTGATGGATTTACTTCAAACTTGGTATCTAGGGGTTTTTTGGGTCGCTGATTACGAATCTAAAGTTAGATTTTCAAAATTTAAAATGGCGGCTCCAATATGGCGGACGATATCGACCCTTCAAAGGGTCGAATTCCGCCCTTACACACGAAACTAGGAGCAATTAAACAGTTTGTCAAAGCCTTAGATAAAAAAGGAAACTGTTTCAAATACCTGGAACAAAAGTTTCCAAAAATCTCTGATGCGAAACTAAAAGAAGGGGTTTTCGACGGACCTTGTATTCGCAAATTGTTAAAAGATGAGCAATTTATCACCAAGATGAATAAAAAGGAGAAAGCCGCATGGCTTAGTTTCAAAGCAGTTGTCGAAAATTTTCTGAGTAATCACAAGAGTGAAAATTGGGAGCAAATAGTTAGTGATATGATTAAAAACTTTGGTAAGTTAGGATGCTTAATGAGCATAAAGTTGCATTACTTAGACTCGCATCGGGATCAATTCCCTGAAAATTTGAGAGATTACAGTGAAGAACAAGGAGAACGATTCCATCAAGATCTGAAAGATTTTGAGCGTCGTTATCAAGGAAGATGGGATGTAAATATGATGGCCAACTACTGTTGGATGCTGAAAAGGGATATTGTACATGGAGGCACCAATTTGAAAAGAAAACCATTACACAGATCCTTTGAGGACAAAAGAGTGCGCTACCATAAAAAGACGTAAATACCTTACTTATGTATATAAGAATTTCCATTTCTAGTTTTGAAAATCTAACTTCAGATTCGTAATCAGCGACCCAAAAAACCCCTAGATACCAAGTTTGAAGTAAATCCATCAATTTTTACAAAATTCGTCCGCCATATTGGAGTCGCCATTTTAAATTTTGAAAATCTAACTTCAGATTCGTAATCAGCGACCCAAAAAACCCATAGATACCAAGTTTGAAGTAAATCCATCAATTTTTACAAAATTTGTCCGCCATATTGGAGCCGCCATTTTGAATTTTGAAAATCTAACTTCAAATTCGTCATCAGCGACTCAAAAAACCCCTAGATACCAATTTTGAAGTAAATCCATCAATTTTTTAAAAAAATAGCCTACCTCTCAAAATCCGACAGGTTTTTGGAGGTTAGAAAAAAATCCTGACGTGATGGAGCAAAACGGACTTCGGATTCGTGTTCAGCGCGTCAAAATACATGGGAAATGACTAGTCTGGTCTGCCGCGCACGACACTTTTTTTTGTGGGGCTGTGTTATTTGCCACGTCTACTAGTGACTTTCAACACTTAATATTTATTATTTTATAATTGGGAAATTACAAAGGATGCTATATTTGGCTACAAGTGTGGAAATCGTATGTGAACATATGTCTACACGTACACACACAAACACAAAGAAATGTTCGCGCCTTTTCTATTTTTCAAAAATTGATCCTATTAAAAAAATTAAAACGTGGATAACTTTGAAATAGGAGCAGCTAGGATTTCATTCTAAACGGATTTTTCACCTACAATCATCCATAAATACAACCCCACTTTCAGTTTTTCTTGACACTTTTGTTCAACCTATCGTCGCTTCCTGCCCACCGTGCCCCCTTAATGTGACATCTTTGAAAGTTTCATCGTTAAAAAAAAATTTCAATTCATTTAAAAAATAATTAAATTTGTTAACAGTA